CCATATTCATCAGGCTGGCCTGGAACTCCTGACCTCAGGTGATCCACCCACCTCAGCCTCCCAAAGTGTTGGGATTACAGGTGTGAGCCTCCATGCCCGGCCTGCATGAAAATATTCTAGCCCCTTCAGATGTTCCTGTAGTGCTGAAATTCCTCCTACAGAAGTAACTGCAAAACGCTATGGGGGAGTTGAGCAGGTGCCAGGGCTGTCGTCAACATGGATATGACATTACACAGCAGTGAGGAGTTGCTTCCCTTGTAATGTAGTTGTCTGCTCTTTGTCCATGTGTTAATGAGGACTGCAAAAATAAGATGATTCCTAGTTATCATTCTGTTGTGATTCCTAGGAATTTTCTCAAGTGGAAATGTGGGTTTCCACCTACCACTTACCTGAAATGCAGGAGCACCTACTTACTGTATTCTACATTATTATACAATGTAGTATTATCAGACAATGTCAAATGCAAACATGTAATGACAATATGTACTAACATTCTTGTAGGAGTGGTTAGAGAGGCTGCCTCATTTCTACATTCTGTCATTTGCTATTATCGTCTATGTTTTAGTGTATCCTTACAGAAATGAAGCAGCACATGAATTAAAAAAAAAGGAGGATTAGTCCAGGAACTACAGAATGATTATTTTATACCATAAAAAATGTTAGTATCCTCATGTTTTCTTAAAATAGTTTGAAAATAATTAGAAGACTTATAAATGATAGTGTATGTCTCTCCTCTCTTACCAAGGACTAAGCGCTAGTGTATCAACGTACCTCATTTTACTGTGCTTTGCAGATATGGCAAGTTTTATAAATGAAAGGTTTGTGGGAACACTGAGTTGAGTAAATCTGTTAGCAGCATTTTCCCAACAGCATGTGCTCATTTTGTTAGCACTTTTTTTAGCAATAAGATATTTTTAAATGAAGGCATATACATTTTAAAAGACATGATGCTATTGCACACTTAACCTGTGGTATAGTGTAAACATAACTGTTACATGTACTGGGAAACCAGAAAATTGCTTTATTGCAGTGGTCTGGAACTGAACCTGAAATATCTCTGAGGTATGCCTGTATACTGAAAAGGTGGTAGGAATTTTTTTTTTACAGTAACCAGGTGTTTGATGCTTTTCTTTTGTTTGATGAGAATAATTTCCAGCACTATGAAACAAATAGCTATTTAATTCAGCAATAAGTTTAATAAACTTTTTGTAACCCCAGCTAGCAAAATAAAGTCACCTACTCAGAAATGAGCTAAAGAGGAAGGTGAACTATTTTAGAAATGTAGTTTAAAATGTATATGTAGTTAAAAAAATCTAAAAGCATTCATATTTTTTCAAAATGGCATTCAATGATGTTCAAGTAAACTATTTCCTTCACTAGGGAGCTTAGCTTTTCACAGCTGCACAATGCTGTCTGTGGCTATTATCACACACCTTGGACCCTGTGCTGATTTATGTAGAGGATTCCCTTTCCAGCGGATAGGCTGGATAAGTACAACGAATTGACTGAAACTCTCTATAAAACAGATCTTTCATATATCTGTAATAAAATAACAGTGTACATATTTACCATAATGAGAAACTGCGTTTTATTGAAGTATAATAAATTTTTAGTATTAGTGGGCAGAATAAAATATTCCGTATAATTTAAATAACTAATAGAAATAAAATAACTAATGGAAACAATTTAATGACATTTTAAAAATTCCATGTATTTTAAATTGCACTTGTTTTGTGTTTTTTTTTTTTTTTTGAGGCAGAGTCTTGCTCTGTTGCCCATGCTGGAGTGCAGTAGTGTGATCTTGGCTCACTGCAATCTCTGCCTCCCTGGTTCAAGTGATTCTCCCACCTCAGCCTCCCAAGTAGCTGGGATTACAGGAGTGTGCCACCATGCCCAGCTAATTTTTGTATTTTTAGTAGAGATGGGGTTTCATCACATTAGCTAGGTCTCCAGCTCCTGACCTCAGGTGATCCACCCATCTCAGCCTCCCAAAGTGCTGAGATTATAGGCATGAGCCACTAAACCTGGCCCTATACTGTTTATTAAGCATTGGTATCCACACTTATTCTATAACTCTTACAGCTATATGTTGGCTGCTTAGTAAACAGATTTTTTAAAACTTTTATTATGGAAAGCCTCAAATATATACAAAAATAGAGTGAGTAGTATACTGAGCCTCGTGTAATCAAAACCCAACTTCAATAAGTATCAACTCATGACGAACTTATTTCACCCATACTCCCAGTGATCTACCTACACACTACCCTCTCAATGGATTTTTGGAAGCAAATCCTTGTCATATTATTGGGAGAAACACTCTTTCTTGGGACTCTTTTGTTCCTACACATCTTGCTGGGTGGACCAAGAGACTGCAAGGCCCTAACTTCTTTTGCCAGAACCATTTCTCAAGGTTAATCATGCAGCTGGTAACCTTAAAAAATAGGTAATCCTTCCTTCCACACCCATCAACACCCCCAAACAAAGAGCAGGCTTTCTTACTGCTTGCTATAAAATTGGTGGTTTCCTCAAGTTGTGTTCCTCAGCTGTGAAGCAAACTCACTGTGTGGGCAGGTGTCCTCTGGGCCCCTCTGTATTGCTCCTGTAGCAGCTGGGGGCAAAAGGAACCAATACACATATGCTGATGTTCATTCTGCTATTGTTCATGAGTAATAAAGTTCTTTGTCTCTGACCCATGAGGCTCATGTATTCTGTCAGTCTTCATAAAATAATAACAGGCTAATTTATTAGGTTGGAGGCAGGATCAAATCAAATCCCAGATTCAATGCATATCATTTTATCTGTACATATTTTAGTATATATTTCAGAAAAATAAGAAGTCTTTTGAAAAAGCCCATAATATATTTTTAACAAATAACACTAATTTTTAATATCATTGAATATCCCAAATTGTGTTCAGATTTCCCTAATTATTTCATTTTTTACAGTGTATTTGAAAAAGGATTTGAATATGTTTCATTATCATATTGGGTGATTTGAATTAAAAAATTTTATTTTAGTAATCTACATATATATTTGTAGTTTTAACATACAAGTTGGTGGTATTAATTATATTCAGAATTTTGTGCAACCATCATTTTTCCAAAAGTTTTGCATCGGGGTAATTTGAATTTTAAGTGTTTTTCTTTTAATCTACACGTTTTCCTTTTCCCATTCTGTTTGTCCTTGCATTTATTTGTTGGAGAAAATCAGATTAGTTCTACTGTAGTTCCCCACAATTTGGGATTTTACTATTTTTATAACTGCAGTGATGTTTAACATGTTCCTTTGTTCCCTGCATTTCCTGCAAATTGGTTTTTGGATCTAGAGGTTTAGACTCAAGTTAATTTTTGTTTTGTAAGACTTTCATTCATATGGGGTTTCATGGATTTCCATCAGACGGCACATAATATCTTGTTATTTCTCTTTTTGAGATGTTAGCAGCCATTTATGATTATTGCCTAGATTATTTATGTTTTGCGGTACAAAATGATGACATTCAAATTCTATTACTTCTCCTTAATAGCTATAATACTTTCCTAAAGGAAACAATTGCATAGTACTCCATTGTATGGATATTCACTCAATCAGTCTAAACATATTTTGTAAATCATAATATCCTATTTATCAAACAGAATTTTATTGTGATGGTTTTCCAACAAGAGAGAGGGTTTTGTATGCTGTTGCTTGTTTTTATACATTATAGAGTATGCTTCACGCCTAAAGTAGCATTTGAAAAAAAGTTAAAAACTATTTCTGTATGAGAATGTAGAATGTAAGATGTATTTATAGCAAGTAGCAAAATGTATTTTGTCACGCTCTAAAATAATCTGTTAGTAAAGTATCTCTTTTGTTAATAGGTACCCAGGAGTCTTTAATCTGGAAAGAAGGCAATCTTGGTAGGGACAAGCAATTTCAATTTCATTTTCTTCCAACGAAGAGTACTGAGAGCTGGGGAGGGGCCTCCTTTACATGTGTTCTTCTGTTTCTTTTTTTAATGCATGGATCTAAAATTAAGCACAGTCCTTTTTTTTGGGTGATAGTACATGCCAAGATAGTACAAGTCCTTTTTTTTGGGTGATAGTACATGCCAAGATAGTACAAGTCCTTTTTTTTGGGTGATAGTACATGCCAAGATAGTACAAGTCCTTTTTTTTGGGTGATAGTACATGCCAAGATAGTACAAGTCCTTTTTTTTGGGTGATAGTACATGCCAAGATAGTACAAGTCCTTTTTTTTGGGTGATAGTACATGCCAAGATAGTACAAGTCCTTTTTTTTGGGTGATAGTATATGCCACATCCAATATGTGGCCTATTGAAATGTTTTCCTCAGAACAACATTGAGACACATCGGTGTAAATTGATCATTTACCAACTCAACGGACTGATTTAGTAGGAATACAAAACTCAGAAGTCACCATAGTGATTGAACCTCATGGTCACTTTGCCACTAAAAATATTAATTAAGCTTTTCTTTTTATGCCTCACCACAGCATCTGTAACTCACACCTGGCATTTAGTGAAACGTCTGCATGCTGGGTATTACAGCAGGTGAAATGTCACGTGACCAAGCTGTTCTTCAGCACACTGAAGAGCAGATGAATAAAAGGAGGGAAAGAGGAAGTAAAGCATTTTTCAAGTTATTTTTAGTAAAAATCTTGCCTCACTATTCATTGGCTTATTGCCATCTTAAATAACTTATAAAAGTTCACACATTTTTGAAATGTGGGAGGATTTTCTCTCTGTTCCTGACTCTCAGCAAAGGGACCAAGAGAGTAAAGTAACAATTCACAGATATATATGGTTTGATATACTTTTTATGTCAGAAAAAAACCTGTTGTCCTAGTAAAAAAAAAAATCAAAGAAATGGAAGCTGAACTAAATTAGGCTTATAGGAAAATGATTTCAAAAGCCCATCTTCCAAATCAAAAAGTGAATGCGGGTAGCATGTCATTTGTGTTTAGTTAGTACTCCACTGGTGTGAAATAAATGACTTCAAAACTTAGTGGCTGAAAACAGCACACACTCATTGTCTCACAGTTTCTGTGGGTCAGAAATCCAGGCGAGGCTTCGTTGGCAGCCTCTGGCTCAGGGTCTCTCAGGAGCTGCCCTCAAGCTGTGGGCTGGGGCTGAGGCGCCTTCGAGTTTCCCTACATGGCTATCGGCAGCCTCAGAAGATTCATTTCCAGTTTCATGTGGGGCTCTCCACAGGGCCGCCTGGAAACAAAGAATCTGGCTTCCCCAGGAGTGAGAAATCCAGAGAGAGCGAGCAAGCACGCAAGACAGAAGTCACAAAAGGGACATCCCATCACACCTTCTGCATTCTGTTCATTAGAAAAGCCTCAGTACCCTCAGCCCACCCTCCAGGGGAGTAGATCTCACAAGGGCTTGAATACCAGGATGCAGGGATCCTTGTGGACCAAATCTCAGAGGCTGCCTACTAGAGTTTGCTCATTTTAAATGTAAATTTTTAAAATAGAAAATATATTCTCACAGTTAAAAATTCAAAATATACAAGAATGTATATAGTAAGAAGACTTCTTCATACCCCTGTCTGCCGATGTCCTCCTTGAGCAAATTGTTATCAGTTTCTTGTTTATCCTTTCAGAGACAGTCTGTTAAACATCGACTTGAAAACATGGGAAGCCACAGGGTGCGAGCGGAGAGCACTCCACCTTGCCAGCTCAGACCTGCTTTGCAGAGATAACTCTTCCCCACCCCTTGGATGAAATCTCAAGTGGGCACTATGACTTTTCACCTCCCTCTCAGATAATAAGCAGTTCTCCAGTCACTTTCAGTCATAACATAGTTTTATTTCAGAAATAAAATACCTAGTCCTGAGTCATAGTCAAACTCCAAATTTTAAGGTTAATGTTTCTCCCCTTCCCTAACTTGGGCCTGCTTCATGCCGGAAATCTGCATTGAGAAAAGGTGGAGTGGGGGCAGCTTCTTCACTTCTGTTCTGTACTGCTCCCCGTTCTCTTCCACCTCTTTGTGGGTTCACTGGTTTGCCTTTATCTCTTTCAGGGTTTGGGAATGGAAAATGAGTAAAGAAAGGGAGGGAGCTCTTTTTTCATTTTCAGATCTTTTGTTTTTTTTCAGAGATTTCTTCATGAAAACATCGATCTGATGCTTTCTTAATGTTTGTAAATCTCCCCTTCATTAGCATGTGTTCCTAAGGATGGATCTCCAGTCACTTGGTGCTGGGGTCATTCAGCCCTGGCAGGGAATTCCCGGGGGGGGGGGCTGGGTGGCAAGTCTCCTCCATGACAACTCCAGGAAGGCTGACTTTCTCCCCTTCTCATTCTCCATCTAGTCCTGGGAAATCCTCACACATCTTTTCTAATATCCTAGACTCTTTGGAAAACTGGCTAAGACTATTCTTTCTCCTTGAGGGCTTTTAGTTTCTCATACTATCTCGCTCAATTCCTTTAGGAATTATTACATCCTGGGGACAAAAAAGGCTCAATGTGTCACTCCAGGAATTAGAATCCAAAAGAGGGGATGCATCTGCTGGTTGATCAAATGCTTGTCTTACAGGAAATGAAAGAATTTTCTTGTAGAACATACTTCCCACATGCTGAGATACCTTTAAGACAAAATAATTATAGTAATTAATTCTATTTTTTCCCAATAACTCAGCATTAAACACATATGGCAGAGAGGTTGAGGTAATTTCAGGCATGGAGCATCTATTAACATATAGTTGTGGCGATCACGGTTGTAGGATGTGGTGGGCTTTTCTTTCTCAGAATCACAGTGTTTACAGATGTAAAACAGGGTATCAAGGTGGCTCTAACCAGGGGCATCTGAGAAATAGTGGAATTACTGAGGGGGAGAAAAGTGGATGGTGAGGTCAGGAAGGTAAGGGTGGCAGCGTGTGAGGAGGAGCACAAATGACACAGCTCTTTGGCTTTGGCTCTGAAGGCAAGGGGAGCTATTTTAGATCTTGAGCAGAAGAGTAACACAATCTGTCTTATGTATTAAAAGGATCACTTTTACTGTTTTGTGAATCAACTCTGGATGGGCAAGGGCAGAAGCAGGGAGAGCAGTTAGAAGGTCAATGCACAATTTCTCAAAGATTTTGACCCAGCAATTCTATTACTGGGTGTTTACCCAAAGGAATATAAATCATCTATTACAAAGACACATGCATGTATACGCGCATTGCAGCACTATTCACAATAGCAAAGACATGGAGTCAACCCAAATGCCCATCAATGATGGACTGGATAAGGAAATGCAGTACATATACACCATGGAATACTACACAGCCATGAAAAGGAACAAGATCATTTCCTTTGCAGGGACATGGATGGAGCTGGAAACCATTATCCTCAGCAAACTAACACAGGAAGAGAAAACCAGATACCACATGCTCTCACTTAGAAGTGGCAGCTGAACAATGAGAACACATGGACACATGAAGGGGAACAACACACACTGGAACCTGCTGGGGGGTTGCCCAGGGAGGAAGAATATCAGGATAAATAGTTAATGCATGCAGGGCTTAATACCCAGGTGATGGGTTGATAGGTGCAGCAAACCACCGTGGCACACATTTACCTATGCAACAAACCTGCACATGTATCCCAGAACTTAAAATAAAAATTAAAAATTAAAAAAAAAAGAAGGCCAATATGGTCGTTCAATGAGAGACGATGGCGCTTGAGACCAGGATGCAGTGGTGGAGGTGGTGAGAAGTGGTGCATTGGGGTTGGCTAGTTCACAAGAGTTAAATGTTTAGGAAGTTTGCAAGCCAGTTGTTAAATATATCATTATTAAAAATTAAGTCAAAGCAACATATTAAATAAATTATGTACAACAAAAGTAATACATGCTTAAGGCTCACCACTTTTTAATTGTTTTTACCTAATTATTTTACTATTATTATTTGTATCCTTGACGTTATTTACACCTATTATATCTGAGATTGTGTCTGGTAGAAATACTCTATAGTGGGGTGTGACTATGTATCTCTTCCCATCTCAGGACAGTCACCCCCAAGTGTCATGGGCCTGGAGAGAGGAGGGTAGCACTCTCGAGGGGATGATGATTTCTCAGAGGATGACAGTATTCAGTGACATTAGGAGTTTGTCAGCCATGGTGGGAGTAATTTACACCACAGGAATTGGAGACACTACAACGTGGGGCTCATTTTGTCTTTAAAGAGAACTACTTGTTAAACATTAACCAGTGCATCCGTGCTTATCCTTTCCCCATTTATACCTAGGAATGTGCCACCACCACATCCAATGTTTTCAGGGTTCCTCACTTCTATTATGTCCCCAACCACAGAGGGAAAAAACTTAATAAAGAGGTTAAATAAGTATTATTTAGATTACAACAAGATAGAAGTAACATATTTGTATTAAGCTTCATGCCATTCATACATAATTAGTTATGTAAAATCCCCATACCTGTGATTGAATTTTTAGTGCCGGTCCTAGCTTTAATCCCATAGTGCCTCGAAGATGCTCTTCTGTGAGTAATGGCAAAGTTTCTCCGTCAATTGCATGATCTTTAAATACCTTAATAAATACAAAAGGTATTAATTTTGTCTGAATGTCTTTTTTTAAAAAAAGTTCTTGTACCATCTAGATATCTTAGTTTTGGCGAAAACATTAAGACTGCTTGAGGATGACAGAAAAATTTGTGAAACCTTTTTTTAGTTGCTGTCTTTTCTGTGTTCGGTAGCACATTGCTTGTGCGCTTTAATAACCCTTGGAATCAACTGTAATTCTCTGTTTATAGAACTCAATTCCAACCGGGAATAGTGATTATTTGAAGGCCAGGTCCATGAATCATTGAGCAATGTACCCCGAATACAGAGGCTGGCATATGGTAAGAAGATGTACAATAAATATTGCTGGATAAATGAATGAATGAGTAAATGCTCTAAGTAAAGGGATGTGGGTAAAACCTGTCATGGTAAATTTCATCTGTCACATTTACAGATGTGGTATCTTCTGGCCATGCCTTAGATGCCTTGTAAAGGGAAGAGAGGAAAATGCTGCTGAGAACTTTCACTAGCAGACCTTTCCAGCAGCTCTCTTTGTCCTGGCTCTGTAGTGGACATGGCATGCCTTCCTTTCTTTAAAAGCCAGGAAGGCTGCTGGTGGACAAAGATTCCAGGCAGATAGAGGGATGCAAAATCTAGGCAGATTGACAGGACTGTAATTTCATGATCTTCAACTTCAACTTGCCTGGAAATCAAAGATTTATGTTCACTGTTGAGCTTTCTCTCCCTTCTATTTCAAGCTGTCTCCACCCTCCTTGAACTTTAGACTCTGTTGGGAAAGTCCTCCCCCATTTTCAGTAGATCAGAGCACTTCCTAACTTAAAACAAAACAATAGATAAGAACTCCCTCTAATTCTAACCAATGAATCTAAAAACCTTTATTTTCTCCCATTGTCATGATACAACGGAAGAAGAGAGGTCTCTCCATCACTTAAAGACAATCGCTCCACATATACTGTGGGTCCTCACCCCTCCCACTTCCAGGTTTCACTCAATAGATAATCCCCTCTTTCTCTTCACTGTCATCTTCTGCTGGCTCTTCCCCATTGGCATTTAAGTCTCTACCATCATTAAACAAACACAAATAATGAAAATATTCAAACTCCATTTCCAAATACTGTCTCATGTCTTTAACTCCCTTCACAGTCAGATTTCTCCAAAAGGTTTTGACGCTTCCTGCTTTCACATCCTCATTTCCCAGTCATTGCACAGTCTCAGGGAATCCGAGCTCAGCCCTGACCACTCCATTAAGCCTGCTCTCCTCAGCCTTCCTGGTGTCTTGGTGTACCAAACATGCAGATGTTTTGCAGATGTTACATTTCTGAAGTTCCTGGCTGCATCCGACACTGTTGACTGTGCTTCATGAACAGTGCTCTTCCTTTCTGTCATGAGGCTGCTCCCTCCTGGGTACCCCTGTTCTCTCCTTCAAGGTCACCTTTGCTGGCTCCTGTTTCTTTGTCCATTTTTGTAGATTAGGGTTTCTTAGGCTTCTGACTCAGGTCCCTTTGGTCTTCCTGATTCATTTCAGTTCGCTCAGCTTCAGCGAAGGCTCCCTACTGTGTATCTTTCACTCAGAAGCTAAATTGTGCCAGTTTGACCTCTTACATCATTTTCATTGGGCTGTGACAGGGCAGCACTCAGTTCCAATGCAGAGTCCCACAATTACTGTGTCCTCCCATGCCTCAAAGCACAGATTCTGTCTCCGTACCACGTGGCCACTTCTGGGGGACAGCAGAGGGTGGTGTGGGCAATTCGAGACTGTCTTTCCTACCCTCTTCAGTGCCCCTTTTGGTGACGTGAAGTTAAAACCAGGTACTGGGATTGCTCACCTGATTTTTCGCTCTTATGAAGGCGCTTTTTGTGTGCAATGTCGCTCCTGTGGTGTTCCGGAAGGGAGGATCATCGGTGGAGGCTTCTTTTCAGCCGTCTTTCCCTGCCTCCTCTAGGTTGTGTTCTTATCTGCCCACCCCCACTGCTCCCGCACTGGCTAGAACTCCGTTATTGCTCAACTGAAGAGGCTTACCTTCTGTGTTGTCCTCCTCAACTTGTTTTCATAAAAGCAACCAGAGTGAACTTTCCGCAATATAAACCTCGTCATGCCGCTCCCTACTTAAATCCTGCCTGCCTCCAGGATAAAGTCGCAATCCTTCACTGGGTCTCCAAGGCTCTGTGACCTGGCCCCGTCTACCTCTCTTGCTCTCCTCACCGCTCCCACCTTGGCCCTGGCCCTCTGTAGCAATGGGATCTACTCTCAATGTCCCAACCATATTAAGTTTTCTCTGGCTTCTGGCCCTCACCTGGAAATTCCTCCTTTACTCCCTCCTGCCTCACCTTCTCTCTTGACTTTCAGGTCTCACTTTAGAGGCCTCTTCCCTTTGGAGGCCATGAGTCCCTCATATGTGTTCCCACCATGCTCCAAACGTGCCTTTCACAACATGCTCGCATGGATGTGGGATTGCTCCCTGGTGTCCCTCTTCTGGACAATGAGAAGGGGAACCACATTGGTCTTGTTTCCACCCTGTGTTCCATGCCTCAGAGAGCATGATTCAGGACCAGCTGAAGAGCAGAATCTTCTTCTGCACTGGGAAGCTTGTGTTCGAACAGATTTTAGTCATTTACAAACTATATGTATGCATATAATTTTTTTCCACAAAATGCACCAGTGCAGAAAAAGGACTGAAAGGTTCAACTTAAAACACACACTCCAGAGCCAACCCCAGTATTCATCTATCCAAATGTCACCCCTCTGATTGTCCTTTGGCCTGGAAATTAAGACTGAACAACTATAATGCCTATATGTAGAATGGGCAATTGCTGAGGAAGTCAGAAGCTGATTCAGTAGAAACATCTCCCAGCTCTGAAACTTATGGTCTTTGCTTTAGTTTCTACTACAGAAAACACCAAAGACATCCAAGGCCACCCTGTCCCCTGTCGCCAGAACTTGCTGCTGGCCATTTCCAATCCATCTCATACCATTTGGAATTGATTCTGCTGTTTATCTTTTTAAGAAGAAGTTTCACTTATTTTGTGTTGAGAATAACGAGTGGGAGAAAGGCCTCCTATCTTCCACCATGCAGTGTCCATCCCAAACTGGTCAGTGTCAAGTGGACAGGACACTCAGGAGCCGCTGGTCCATGGTGACCAGATGAGCACTGGGGAGAGGGGGTCATGGGCCATGGCAATTTTAAGGCAGATTTCAGCACACCATTCTTCAGGTGGCTCAGTCTGTTCCAGGTAGAAACTCAGTGATGCAACACTGATAGAGAGGGGGCAAGAATGCTCCTTTCACCCAGCAAGGGGTTCCCAAAACCTTTGTCCTTGTCAGGAAGGATGAGCATACTAGTGCCTTCATTACCTTGAAAGTTCTCATAGTGATGGCAGTCAGCACTGTCAATCAGGTAATCAAAGGAGCTGTGATTATGTGTCCAAGAGGCACAGGCCAGAGTCATAAGGGAACACTTTTTTCATAGCATCTCAGTAGCTCTCATCATACTCCCAGCTGGTCAATTTGCCTTCTCGGTTAAGTCCTGCCCCCATAGGTGTCGGTGTTTTTGCAGAAGCCACATATCTGGAAGCCAAAGTGTGACGGATCCTTCCCACTGTGTCTCCATCAGCACAAGCTTCTTCTGTTTCTTAGTACTAATCATAATTCTCATAAAAACAAGTATCATTTCCTACAGTTAGAAAGGGGCTCAACAGCTGCTCCATGGCATGATCTCTGTCCAAAGATGAACAAATCTGCCCACCATCAGTGGGGCTCTCGGACACCCAGAATCCTGTCCAGGTGAAAGGCTGCTAGCTCTGCACTGTGTCTATCATAACCGGCATATGGTTCCCTTCTACTACATAGTCTCAGCTCTACTGTTTAGGTTTGAAAACAACTTTCTGCCCCCTTTCAAGAATCAGTAAGGCTTTCAGCTGTGTCCCTTTAGAACCCACATCAGCTTTAATAATTTTCTTGGTGGCCATGGCATCCTGATTGCCCCCGCTCTGGTGTCTCTTCACGGTACACTGCCTGGGGAACCACCCACTGGGATGCAATATCCCAGGAAGACTGCAAGGTGTGGTCCAACTTGGGTGACAGCTCCATCCGCAAGCCAGTCATCATTCAGTGAAAAGCCCTTCTGCGGTCTTCCTGCAACCTAAGTTGCCAACCAGGAAAACCTTGGCAAAGATGAAGATGACAAGAAGAATTGCTAACAGCATGACTCACTGCCTTAGCTTCAGGTTGGCCTCTTTTCTTCTCCCCGACCCACTCTTTGGCTCACTTATCAAGGAGAGCTGCTGGTAACAGTTACTAAGGAGATTCCATCATTGTACACATTGGTCCATTTGTGGACGCACCTTCCACAGTTCCTATTGGGCCCTAGGCTCACTCGTAGCTGGCCGCGAAGTGCAATGCAGTGTAGCCCCAGCCACCTCCAAGGAAGGGCAGCCTGAGGCCGCGCTCACCACCCCCATTCCCTGACCACCTCTCTCAGTGCTGAGCCAGCCATTCCCCTTACCCCCCGCGAACTATATTAAGTCATTATTTCTTTTCCTATTTTAATCTAGCAAATTATAGAAAATGGCTAATATAAATTAAGGAGCCAGCTGCAGTGGCTGGCATCTATAATCTCAGTTACTTGGGAGGCTACGGCTGGAGTATTGCTTGAGATCAGAAGTTTGAGATAAGCCTGGGCAACACAGTGAGACCCTCATCTCTTAAAAAAAAAAGATTAGCTAGATGTGGTGGCACACACCTGACCATTTGTGAGCATCCAAGGGAGGAGGAATCAGGTGGATAAATTTTCAAGCAGTGGTAGGTTGGCAGCCAGGGACTGAAATGTGTGAGGACCTAACCCTCAGCCATGGTGGATGTGCTCTGGGCTGGGGGCAAGGACATGCACATCCCTGTTGCTCAAATGTACCCCTTTCTTTCTCACCAGAGCAGTTTGGGCCACGTGTATGATATAAATGTGCACATATTTTCAGTAATTTCAGTTCTTTTTAGAGAATATTTTATCTGCCGCATCCTCCGACCTAGACATTTACTTGGAACAAAGTATGTTGCAGGGTCTCCTGAATGTTCCTTAGCAGCTGAGCCACCAATCCTCTCTTTACACCTATTTAAAAGCATTTATTTGCATTTGGGGCCTTGGGTTTTTTTTGTTGTTGTTGTTACTTGTTTTTTCTTCTGAATTTCTTTTTCTACTTATAGAGGTGAGTGGTGAGAGGTTGCTGAGTAGGCACCTAAGGCAGAGGTGGGGAGTAAGAAGATAGTTGGGACACAGTAGGTTTAACTCCAGCTAATCCCAGCACCTTGGTCCAACTTGTTTAAAGAGAGGGGCTAAGGCCAGGTTCGGTGGCTCATGCCTGTAATCCTAGCACTTTGGGAGGCCAAGGTGGGCAGATCAGAAGGTCAGGAGTTCAAGACCAGCCTGGCCAACCCTGTCTCTACTAAAAATATAAAAATTAGCTAGATGTGGTAGGGGGTGCCTGTAATCCCAGCTACTCAGGAGGCTGAGGCAGGAGAATCACTTGAACCCGAGAGGCAGAGGTTGCAGTGAGCCAAGATTGCACCACTGCACTCCAGCCTGGGTGACAGAGCAAGACTCTGTCTCAAAAAAAAAGAAAGAAAGAAAAAATAGAAAAGAAAAAAAAGAAAGGGGCTATGAGTAACACCTGATGGGACATTTGAGACAAGGGTCCTTGTGAGAGTGGGGTACAAGCAGTACTGACTCAGAGCTGTTGCATCCAGAGGGTATCTCCCCATTTCTATATAAAATAACATCATAGAGTATAGCCGGAGGCAGGCACAGCGGAGCAGTGACATCTTTCAGTTGATGCCACCTGCTGTCACTTGGAGGGAGTATACTGTAATGAGGAAACAGAAGCAGGACTTGATCCTGAACAAATTTGAGACATAATCTAGAAATGATTGGTACCACTTCTTGGGGTGGGGAGGAGGGCGCTGACATCCTGTCAGTGAGAGATAATGAGTCAGCAGGGTTTAGAGTACTCATGTTTATGTGACTTCTGTGTATCCACAAGGGGACATTTGGAATTTCGAACTATGAAAAGCATGTAATATACTATTTATTGCTAGAGCGGTTATTATAAATCACACTTTTATGACTATGGATCAGTGAGAATAACCAGAGCTCAAATTTGATGTGCCAGACCTCAGCAATCGCGTGCTTATTAAATAAGGGGTTGCTCTTCTGGTTATTAGAATTTAGTAACTTAATTGAACCCATGGTTGACATGGCACTTGAAGTGGTATAAATAATTTAAAAAGTGGCTTACCCAAGACTAATGACTAATTTAAAAAAATAAGGTTATAACCATTGAACAGGGGAGAGTAGGCCAAAAACTTTTTATCAGGTTATGCAAAAGACAAAAAATGGGTGACTTGAAGAATACAACTTGCCTCATAAGTAACTTGAGGTTTGCCTCTCTCTACAATCTAATGATGAGATTCGTGCTTATTGAGGACTTACAAGGTGCCATGCACTCTAATGCTCACAAAAATCCTCTGAAAATGTATTATTACTATTATCTTCATTTTACAGATAAAATAACTAAGGCACAGAGACGGCACAACTTGTCCGAGGTCACACAGCCGGAAAATAGGAAAACCAGGATATGAACTTGTGCTTTCGGGCTTCAGAAGCCATACTCAGTAACTCCTCTATATAGCTTTTCCATAAGTCCCATAAACTAAACTAAAAAACACAATAAAAAGAAAAAGAATTAACAGCATCTCACTGTAGACAAACATTTCACAAAATTGAGATCTGGAAAAAAATCAGCTCTAGAATCAGTTAATTACGATATAGTTATACCTTGATGTCCTTTTCTTTCTTTTCCTTTAACATGCAAACTAAAGATAATGATACTAGATTTAGTAGGGACTTTATTGCTTAGAACTGTATTATTAAATAACTCAAGCAAACTATATGCATGAAAATGAAGCATTGACATAAACTTCAAAATGTTACCAACTTACAATTTTTGCCACAAAATTTTCAATACATATGAGGCTAGTTTTGTTTCTCACTGCCCTTATAGTTTATTATTAAGAATATGGTATTATATACCAGATTGAATATGTTGTATGCATTTTTATATATTGTCCCAGCATAAATATAGAATTTTTTTGAGATGGAGTCTCACTCTGTCGCCCAAACTAGAATGCAGTGGCGTGATCTCGGTTCACTGCAACCTCCTACTCCCAGGTTCAAGCAGTTCTCTGCCTCAGCCTCCAGAGTAGCTGGGATTACAGGCTGGGATTACAGGTGCCCACCACCATGCCTGGCTAATTTGTGTAATTTTTTAATAGAGATGGGGTTTCATCATCTTAGCCAAGCTGGTCTTATACTCCTGAGGTTGTGATCCACCCATCTCTGCCTTCCAAAGTGCTGGGATTACAGGCGTGTACCACCACACCCCAGCCAATACAGAATTTAAATTAATGGATTTCCTACTTTTCAGATATTGCCTTCTTGTTCTTTTTTAGAATGAAGTATATATTTCTGTTACTTACAGTGAGTAACCTAAAACTTCTGACCCAGAAGTCTGTGCTCCAAAAACGTTTGCTATGTGGATAAGCAGGGAAGGTAGTCGTTATTTCCCATCATTTTTGGATGTTCAGCTTCTGAACCTTCTAATTTTGGGAGAATTTCTACTTCTTAGGAGTCCTGATGGGAAAGAAGCTAAAGAGAGACTATGGCTTTCCCAGCCTCCCCTGATGCTGGGGTGTGGGTATATGACCCAAGTTCCACCAGCCAGAGACCTGTCCCAGGGTAGACACTGGCATAAAAAGGAGAGATTAGTAGTAGGAATCCTTTCTGTAGGCAAAATGCAAGTTTGATGTAATTCACTGTATAGGAAAGATATTTCAAATTGTTTTTCTTGTATGGAAATACTTAAATATTAAGTCACCTGAGCATAGTCTGAACAGCCTGGAAGGCTGCTAATGAAGCTGTGCACATCATCCACGGTCCACTTCTGAATGTCTTCATCCAAAGAAAGATTTCCCCCAACTGTAAGCAGTGCATGTGTTCCTTTAAAATGGAAAGAAATTGTGGCATAAAATACATACAGATTGATGTACAGTTACATTAATTTCCTTGTATTCTATCACCTTAGAATGGTCTCAGTTTGCAAACTCCTTACAAGATGTTAAGAGTTACTAGGAGGTGTTTTCTAAAAGCTTCAGCTGCTTCCTCTCTCTTCTTTCTCTGAAAAGCTCTTTCCTGACAGCATTGATAATAGTAACCAAGTTCCTGTTCACTCCAGCTTCCTTCAGATTCCAACACAAACGACCCATGGATTATATTCTCCAGATTAATGTTACTATGTTTTTGTGATATGTGATTATCATACTCTCAGGATGAGACAAGAATTTAGCTAAATTTTCAGCAAAATGACAAATTAATATTTTGTAGAGAAGCAGTTGGTATGCTGGCTATATTACACACCCTTCACAATCCCTGTGTCTTAAAATATTTTTATCTAAAGGAATTCGAGAAAACTATTCAGTGTGTGTTTTTGGCATGAAATGCATTAGTATTTTTAGATATGAATGTGTCAACGGTATTGGACCCTGAAAGGTAATACTTTTGCTTAATTTTCTGTTTTTTTCCCATACTTAAATACTGGGGAGATATCCCAGCACTTTGGGAGGCCGAGGCGGGCGGATCACAAGGTCAAGAGATCGAGACCGTGTTGAAACCCTGTCTCTACTAAAAAAAAATACAAAAATTAGCTGGGTGTGGTGACGCACGCCTGTAGTCCCAGCTACTCAGGAGGCTGAGGCAGGAGAATCGCTTGAACCCAGGAGGAGGAGGTTGCAGTGAGCCGAGATCGCGCCACTGTACTCCAGCCTGGCGCCTGGTGCCTGGCGACACAACGAGACTCTGTCTCAAAAAAAAAAAAAAAAATTCATATTTTTAACCAAGAAGCCTCTCTGCTTTGTGTTATAGAAATAAACACTAAATTACATTAAAATCGTAAATAAAAATTCTGTTATGTTTCCCCAGATATTTACCTTCCTAGCCTTTGTTGAAAATTCTCTATGCAGCAAAATATAAACAGAGGCTAGTTTCACTGATATGGCTTATTAGAACTGATGGAATAAAGTGAGGCTAAGAAAAGGTAATTCCAAGCAGGATTAAGATGAAAAGGGGCAGGATGGTTACAGTTTATTATGTCGTAACCTACAGACGTGGCAACCCGTAGTTAATGACGATCTGCCATTGGCCCCTGCACACCTACCTGGCAGAGATGGTCGAGGAAGTGGAGGACAAACCCCATTCTTTTCATCACAGGCTGCAAAAGTCTGCTCCGAAGCCTCTTCTTTCCCACTCTCCCAGGCCTTTGCTTTCAATGTAGCAGTGTGAGATCCCCAGGGTTTCCTATGAGTGGGCTCGAGCTCTCCACAGGTGTTGGCAAGAGCTGTAGGTGGCTTTTCATTCGTTTCACTTGACTTCTGGTTGTTGGGCGCTTCAATTTCTGGGTCTTTTGCATAATGATCCTCTTGATAGGGAACTGCAGGAGTCTGGGCCAGTTTTTCTTCGGCTTGACTTTTGGCATTCTCAGCATCACTGTCTAGAACTTTTTGATTCCCCGTATTTTTCCTGAGTCGACGACATCTCTGCCCCCAGCTCTCCTCAAAGTGTGGTGCGGTTGCCACTAGCATGGGGTTTCCCTGAAGGTTTCTGAGGGTGCTTCTGTGAAAATGCAGGTCACTGGCAGGGAGCATGCTCCTGCCATGGTAGGCAGCGGGACCAGCTGGGACACCGGAGCCATAGAGGAATGGTATCCCTAGGCCTGCTAGTCCCTTAGGATTAATTTTTTCCATTCTCCTTTGCTGGTAAATAGCATACATTTCCATTTCTGTCCTGAAAACAAAACAGTATATTTTATACAGCCCATGAAAACCATTATAAATGTAATTTTAATAGCTCCTCGCCTTCCCTAAAATAGTCCTCACACTGTATATCTGAAGTTTGTTTGGTGGTAACACGAATCCCCCACAAAGCCAGCGAGAAGGGGAGTTTTGAGTAAGATCTGAAGATCTGTCTGAGTCTCACAACGGAAGGCCAAAGGCCAGTCTTTAGTGTTACCTCTAAATAGATGGGTAAATTTAGCAGGGATGGGGCTTATGCAGCACAGGTAGTTCCTTGCCAGAGATTAATCCGCAAAAAACCTAAAGTACTGGGAAGAGGTTTTCAAACCCTGCAAAATAATCTTAGTGAGACTCAAGAAAGACTGGTAGACAATGCAAGTCTCAGTGTTTATAAATCAGTGCAGTGGCTGGGGAAGAGAGGAGGGGAAGACTTGGTGGTTTGGCTTACTTCACTTTGCTTAGTGGTCCTCAGCTGGACCCCTTTGGGTTCAGTGATGAGAAAGTTGCCTCTCTGCCTTCTCTTACCCTGGGGCCACACCCTACTCATTGTTATACTTTTTCTCCTCCACTACAGCTGAAGGCCACTGTTGGGCTAACATGCGGTTGTCTGAGCTCTGATGGCGTAATCTGAAGTTGGGTTGGCAAACTTGGCTCCTATCTTTGCGCAAAACTTTAGTCATTTAAGACAGTAATGCCAATATGAATTTCAGAGGAATCACAGGCATTTTAATTATGGGATACTGATGGTCTATTGCAATCTGAGTGCTAATACTACCGTTAGCTTCACTGTGGGATTTCTAATCTTGCTTTTATCCTTAACCAACCTGCATATGTGTTTGTATTTGCTTCTTTTTCTTTCTTTCTTTCTCTTTTTTTAAGTGAAAGCAAGTTTATGAAGATAAAGGAATAGAGAATGGCTACTTCATAGGCAGAGCAGACTTTCTTTTCGTAATCTGCCTGAAATACTTTAATATGTGTGTGTGTGTGTGTGTGTGTGTGTATTTATTTGTTATATATACCTTTATTCACTTGTTATATGAATATAACAAGTGAATGAATAGAAAATAAATAAAACAATGTTGTCAAATTACCTGGCAGTATGATGCCTTTGAATCATTTCATTCCTTCTGGCCACTGCCTTTATGGATTCAGGTGGTAAAATGCCCCAACCTTAAAAAAGAAAACCACCATTGCACCCCACAAATAAGTTAAAAACATGCACTTGAAACATAACTATGTAAAACAGTATCTGCAAAAACAAAAGCAAACCAAACCAGCAGTTGTGCAGTTATGGAAATGGTATCAGATCATAGCGGTTCAGTGTCTTAGCGTCACGTTGGTGATAGCATGATAAATACCAGATAACTTTTTGTTCTTTAATTGTTGGTCTCATGACTGGTGACATTTTCCTGCCTAACATTAAAAGATAAAAGATGAAGTGATTTGTGACTCTCTTGATTGTTGCCTTTTTTGATCTTTTAAAAGTATGTTTTTTGGGGGGGTACAACGTGATGCTTTGATATATGTATACATTGAAGAATGATTAACTTGAGCTAATTAGCATCTCACCTCACATATTTATCACTTTTTGTGGTCAGAAGATTTACAGTTTACTCCTTTTTTGAGACAGAGTCTTGCTCTGTCATCCAGGCTGAAGTGCAGTGGCACAATCTCAGCTCACTGCAACCTCCGACTCCCTGGTTCAAGCGATTCTCCTGCCTCAGCCTCCCAAATAGCTGGGATTACAGGCACCTGCCACCGTGTCCAGCTAATTTTTGTATTTTTAGTAGAGATGGGGTTTCATCATGTTGACCAGGCTGGTCTCAAACTCCTGACCTCAGGTGATCTGCCCACCTCGACCTCCCAAAGTGCTGGGATTACAGGCACGAGCCACCGCGCCCGGCCACAATCTACTATCTTAGCTATTTTCAAGTATATAATACATTGTTATTAACTGTAGCCACTGTGCTATATAATTGATCTCTAGAACTTATTCCTTGAGTCTAAAACTTGGCACCTTTTGACCAACATCTCCCCAGTCCCCCCGCGTTGATCTCTTGCTTTTAAAGTAAAATTGATAATTGTTCTACTTTTTTTGTACAAAAGGAATTAGTCAACCTTTTCTTTCTTTTTCTTTTTTGAGATGGAGTCTCGCTCTGTCGCTTAGGCTGGAGTGCAGGACGCGATCTCGGCTCACTGCCGTCTCTGCCTTCTGGGTTCAAGCAATTCTCCTGCCTCAGCCTCCTGAGTAGCTGGATTTACAGGGATGTGCCACCATGCCCAGCTAATATTTGTATTTTTAGTAGAAATGGGTTTTCACCAAGTTGGTCAGGCTGGTCTTGAACTCTTGACCTCGTGATCTTTCTGCCTCAGTCTCCCAAAGTGCAACCTTTTCATAAAAAGTGTTCTCTGGTATACTAAAAGCCCAGGAAATTCCATGAGGATTTAAGTTATTTAAAGTTCTCTATGTAGATAAAAATTTATGTGCCCGGCCTTGAGATACTCTCTTTTAGACAGCTGGTGTACATGAAGCTACCAATTCATGGGACACTGCCTATGGAAACAAGTCTGCACAAGAAGTTCAGTCTAGAGAGCACAATACTAACTGCCTGGATTTCCAGAACCCTCTGAGGTCTGGTGTCATGAAACCTACTCCTATACTTTCTCTTTTTCAAATAGGCAACATCAAACTTAATGTTAGTCCTGTTGTGTAATTCACTGCTACTTAACATCCCTGTTTTGTTTGTTTGCTTTTTTCCTTTGAGATGGAGTTTTGCTCTTGTTGCTCAGGCTGGAGTGCAGTGGCACGATCTTGGCTCACGGAAACCTCCACTTCCCGGGTTCAAGCAATTCTCTCCTGCCTCAGCCTCCAGAGTAGCTGGGATATAGGCACGTGTCATCACACCCAGTGGTGCATGCCTGTAATTTTTTTTGTATTTTTAATAGAGACAGGGTTTCTCCATGTTGGTCAGGCTGCTCTCAAACTCCTGACTTCAGGTGATCTGCCTGTCTCGGGCTCCCAAAGTGCTGGGATTACAGGTGTGAGCCACCGCGCCCAGCCCTACATCCCTGTTTTTTAAACAGAGCCCTGTCTTAGCTTCTATTTTGCCAACTTACATAGTAGCTCAGTTTTTGCAGGACTGAGGCCTTATCTTGCCCTTGCCCTCTCTTACACTTCAGCCTTGAGGTGAGAGACCTGACCTATGTCCCTAGAGAAAGGTGGTCAACCTGTTTGCTTTTATATCTAAATATTAGCAATTTCTGGGTTCTTTATCAAGAAGAGTCAGCAGTGCAGCTGTTTTACTAGTCTGTTGGCCTGTTGTCTGTAATCAGGGGCTACAGCTTACTGGGCTATTGCTGCCAGGTGGCCTCCATCGAGGATCTGCTGTTGGACTGTCTCCTTTGGTCCTTGAACCAATTTACCAGGTGGGTCCAGTTTCAGATCTGGCCCTTGCTTGAATGCTTGCTCTCATTGCAGTTAAATAGATTCGCGACCTGAGGTAGACAGCATGCTCAAATCCAGGCGGGCCAGCCTCTTCGCTGACCCAGGCGTGAATCCTATTTCTCTTTGAGTCAGGCTTTTCCTTCACATTGTTCTCACTATTACGAGTTGTTGGAATTGTGGAGCAGGGATAAGTAGAAACTTATGAATATGGTTTTTTGGGGAGAGAAGATAGACCAGTTTGAGCTTCAGTGTTGTGGGGAAATTCTCACCTAGTCTCTCCCGAGCCCTCACAAGTCCTGTTTTCCCCATCACGACTTTACTGAAATGGCTTGTATCAGAGTTACTGATGACCTCTGCATAGCGCTGAATCTAATGATATATTCACAGTTTTCATCTTACTTGCTCTGCAAATGGCACACTTGACACAGCTGCTCACTCCTTAAAATAGTGCATTGTAAAATGACTGTAAATCTTATAACCACAAAAAGTGATAAATAAGGCCAGGTGTGGAGGCCCACGTCTGTAATCCCAGCACTTTGGGCAGCAGAGGTGGGTGGATCATTTGAGGTCAGAAGTTCCAGACCAGCCTGGCCAACATGGTGAAACCCCATCTCTACTAATAATACAAAAATTAGCTGGGCATGGTGGCACAACCTGTAGTCCCAGCTACTTGGGAGGCTGAGGCAGGAGAATCGCTTGAACCCGGGAGGCGGAGGTTGCAGTGAGCCGAAATCATGCTATTGCACTCCAGCCTGGGTGACAAGAGCAAAACTCCATCTCGAACAAACAACAGCAACAAAAGTGATAAATATGTGAGGTGAGACCTATGATTCGCTTGATCTAATCATTCCACACTTTCTTCCCATGGCGTCCAGACCACCACGCTTTCCTGGGTTTCTTCCTACCCCACTGGTTCCCTTCACTTGTTTTACTTCTCCCTCGCTTGCTCTTCCTCATCTTCTGGACTCTGTTAGTGGGTCGGTCTCAGGGATGCTCCTTTTTAACTCTTCTATCTGTACTCGCTCCATAGGTGATCTGATCTAGCCTCATATATGCTGATCACTTCCAAAATTATATCCCCAAGTTGTCCTTAGAAGTTCTTCCTGCATTCAGCTGCCTTCATGACCTCTCTGCTTGGGTGTTTATTAGGCATCTGAGGTGTAATATGAGCAAGCTGAACCCCTGATAAGTCTCCCTCCCCAACAACCCTGTTCCTTTCACAGTCTTCCTCAACTCAATGAGTAGCAACTCCATCTTTCCAACTATTCGCACCAAAATTTTTGATGTCATTCTTAGTACTCTTTCTTCCACCTTCCACATACATGCTGTGAGAAAATTTCATTGTTTCTACAAAGTAATTAGAGAATTTAACCACTTCTTATTCCTGCTGTCATCACCCACGACCAAGTTGTCATAATGTTGTAGCCATTCTAATAGCCCACTAATTCCCATCAGTTTCTTCCCAGAACTTTGATCAGGTTTGTCCCCATCTCGGCAGCCAGAATTATCCTGGTAACATTTAAGTCAGACTATGTTGCTCTTTTGCTCAAACTCCTTGAAGGGTTCCCCTTTCACTCAGAATAAAAGCCACATTTTCACTATGACCATCAGACCCATGGAAACTGCCTTAAGCCCCATTAATTCTCAGATCTAATCTCCTCATAACTTTATCAGTTCATCATGTGTAAGATGAGACAAATCGTAATACTGCAGATCTTCACATTGTTCCTGAATAAGTTGATGCTTAGAGGAGTTAGGCAGCTTACACCGGGTCACACAGTAGTAGCACCATGATCTGAAACTAGGTGGTAGCTACAGAGACTACAGACAGCACCTCCACATGGTCCTGCCTCCAACATTTAGGAGTAAAATGATAGCAAGTTTAATGTGTCCATCCAGTTCAAAATGACTCCACAGATGACAGCCAAGCTTCTATTGCTCGTACCTGGGTAGATCCGATTGGACAGCACGTTTGGCATACTTGTGTTTGGTAGAACAGAGGATCCAAACTGGGAAGGAACACAAAACTGTCTTGGATCAGTTGCAGCTACCGTGGAAGGCAATACATCTCTAGGAACAAAAAGATATAAAATAAAATAGGTAAAATGAGATTGGAGTACAAAATTTCCATGGCTGAGTCAGTGAGACTTTTTTTCTATCATCTCTTCCCAAAGTGAAATACAAAAGCCCTGGAGTCTTTAGGAGTTTAGGGAGAAATATGGTGGAAAGGTCGGGAAGAACTCTACTAATGAAGGACTGATCCAGCTGACAACAAAACAGAGGAAGCAGGAAAGGAAAGTTTTAGGGATATCTGGGAAAAAAGACTTAAATCAACACTGCTCTCTGATTTTTCATGACCAACAGTCTACTCTGACCACAAATTCTTTCCGTATTTAATGGGCATGCTTTGGTTGGGCTTGCCATTTGGGATCAATGTTTGAGTACCTGGGTGGACAACTTGTTCTGCTAAACATTAGTGGTCTCTAGAAGTTCCACTTTATTGCTCACAGTCCATAAACAAGAATAAATAATGAGGCCGGGTGCGGTGGCTCATGCCTGTAATCCTAGCACTTTGGGAGGCTGAGGTGGCCAGATCATGAGGTCCAGGAGTTCGAGACCAGCCTGGCCAGCATGGTGAAACCCCTTCTCTACTAAAAATACAAAAATTAGCTGGGCATGGTGGTACATGCCTGTACTCCCAGCTACTCGGGAGGCTGGGGCAGGAGAATCACTTGAACCCAGGAGGCAGAGGTTGCAGTGAGCTGAGGTCGCACCACTTCACTTCAGCCTGGTGACAGAGCGAGACTCTGTCTCAAAATAAATAAATAAATAGTCCATTTTCTCTCCTGAATGTCAAAATATATATATATTTAAAAAAACCCAAGGGAAGGTACGTTACTTCCAGAGTGTGCGACCCAAATACCTATCATTTTCCTTTTATTGAAAAGAAAGAATTGTTTCTTCACAGGAAATCTAGGGTACCCAGTTGTTATGGACTTCTTTCCCTCCCCCCTGCAAAAAAAAAAAATTAGCACAGGAAGCCTTAACCACCAATGTGACTGCAGTTGGAGACAGGGCCTTTAAGGAGGTAATTTTTATTAAATGATATTATATAGGTGGAGCCCTAATCCGACAGGACTGGTGTCCTTTTAAGAACAAGAGATACCAGGGATCCTTTTCTGCAAATGCGCACTAGGAAGGGCCATGTGAGGACACAGTGAGCAGGTGTCTGCCTGGAAGCCAGAGAGACCTCACCAGAAACCAGCCCTGTAGCACCTTGATCTTGGACTCTCAGCTCCAGAACCAAGAAATGAAGTTCTGCTGTGTAAGCCATCCAGCCTGTAGTACTTTATTATGGCAGCCTTAGAAGACTAATACTCCAGTGTTTGCACCTGCACAATGCCGGTCACATAGGAAGTGCTCATTGGTTATTTGCTGAGTGAGTAGGTCAAGCAGGCCTCAGAGGAGAAATGACAGCTAATGTCCTGAGAGTGAGGTCAGCAGGGTATCTTGACTTGAATTACTGTACCACAGTTCACCAAAATAACAATAGACAATGAAACAACACTGGAGTTAACCTCATCCCAAAACTTAGTGACTGGCCATGTTGTTCTCTGATCAAACGATTACACTGGAGAGAAATACCTGTCCACAGTTGGAGGCCCGAATGGTGAGGGAATCAGCGGGATCGTCTGCTGCCCCGAAGGGGTCAATAAAGGGTTCACAGCCATCACTGGGTTTGTCATCAGTATCTCTCACCACTGACGGAGCTCTGAAAAGAACCAGATAGACACTTCAACAAATAACTCTACTTTTTGTGAAATATTTGAATTCTTCTTGAACACAATAAAAGCCTTTTGTATTTTCACACTACTCAGGAAGATTAGTTACACCAAGCTTTTAGTTACACAAAAACCCGATATAAGTGTAGAACTCAGTGTTTTATCAGTATGCCCTTGGAATTTGTTGCAGAGTTCACTGTAATACCATACCGAACTACAAGCAAAAATAAAATTAAACCAGCCTTGCAAGATTCCAGAAATACCAACTTCCTTTTTTTAGATGGAGTTTCACTTTTTGCCCAGGCTGGAGTGCAATGGCACGATCTCAGCTCATTGCAACCTCCACCTCTTGGGTTCTAGTGATTCTCCCGCCTCAGCCTCCCAAGTAGCTGGGATTACAGGCATGCACCACCATGCCTGGCTAATTTTGTATTTTTAGTAGAGACAGGGTTTCTCCATGTTGGTCAGGTTGGTCTTGAACTCCCGATCTCAGGTGAACCACCCACCTTGGGCTCCCAAAGTGCTGGGATTACAGGCGTGAGCCACTGTGCCTGGAAATTTATTGTACATTTAAAAATAACTAAATATAGGGTCAGGCGTGCAGGCTCACGCCTGTAATCCCAGCACTTTGGGAGGCTAAGGCGGCCAGATCATTTGAGGTCAGGAGTTCAAGACCAGCCTGGCAAACATGGTGAGACCCAGTCTCTACTAAAAATGCAAAAATTAGCTGTGTGGGGTGGCACACACCTGTAATCCCAGCTACTCTGGAGGCTGAGGCAGGAGAATTGCTTGAAACTGGGAGGCAGAGGTTGTAGTGAGCCAAGATCATGCCACTACACTCCAGCCTGAGTGACAGAACGAGACTCCATCTCAAAAACAAACAAATAAATAAAAATAACTAAGTATAGCTGTATTGTTTGTAACACAAAGAAATGGCAAATACTGGAGGTGACGGATATGCCATTTACCCTGATGTGATTATTATCCATTGTTTTCCTGTATCAAAATATCTCATGTGCCCCCATAAATATATACACCTATGTACCCATGAAAATTCAAAATTCAAAATAAATAAATAATTGGGTTTTCTTTTCTTTTCTTTTCTTTTTTTTTTTTTTTTTGTGACAGAGTCTCACTTTGTTGCCCAGGCTGGGAGTGCAGTGGCATGATCTCGGTTCACTGCAACCTCTGCCTCCTGGATTCAAGCAATTCTTCTGCCTCAGCCTCCTGGATAGCTGGGATTACAGGCAGGTACCACCATGCCCGTCTAATTTTTGTATTTTTAGTAGAGACGGGGTTTCACCATATTGGCAAGGCTGGTCTCGAACTCCTGACTTCAGATGATCCACTTGCCTCGGCCTCCCAAAGTGCTGACATTACAGGTGTGAGCCACCACGTCCAGCTTTTTTTTTTTTTTGAAATGTAGTCTTGCTCTATCACCCACGTTGGAGGGCAGTGATACGCAACCTCCACCTCCTGGGTTCCAGCAATTTTCCTGCTTCAGCCTCCCGAGTAACCGGGACTACAGGCATGTGCCAACATGCCCAGCTAATTTTTCGTATTTTCAGTAGAGATGGGGTTTCACTGTGTTAGCCAGGATGGTCTGGATCTCCTGACTTCGTGATCCACCCACTTCGGCCTCCCAAAGTGCTGGGTTTACAGGCATGAGCCACTGCACTCAGCCTCTTACTATTTTTAAAAATCTGAGATACCTGCAGCTATGTTTGAAGAAAAAGATATTAGGAAGGAAATGTTCTGTTTTTCAAAGTAGTGACCTTTCTTTTCTTGTGTGTATGGTCAATTTAATTTTTTAAATACTTATTTCATTCACATGGTTCAAATACTAAAAACATGATGACATTTAAATATACAATCACTTTATTAGCTTATTTTTCAGACCTAGCCCCACTGATCAAATTGGAAATCCAAATCCATGGGTCACCTAACATTGGCTTTTGCCATTCATATCTACATGTTAAAGTTCTTTATCTCTATTTATTTTCACTGTTTTTCTGTGAGGTCAGTAGACATTCTTCTCTGATAGTGGCCTCAGAGAGTTTAGTAACCATGACACAGTCAGGTGTCTGTAAAAATCTCCGTCAGGTGTCCATGGAGGATGCTAATGGAGAACCCAGGCTGGGTCGGAGGTGGGCTGGCACACAACTCTGGCGAGGACGTTGCTCCGCAGCTTGAAATCTCAGGTGCTGCCCAAGAGATCTGGTGCACAGCTGCCTTCTTCCTCTAGACAGACCATTTACAACAGAACAATGGGGGACATCACTTGATGTTTCGTTCTGAAAAATTGTTAAACTTTGATTTGTGTCATGAATTGATGGTCTCTAGCAGAAGTTTGAACTTACTCATGAGTGAGATAGAATTGTTATGTTATAGCCTCTATTTTGTTTTTTGTTTTGTTTTTTGAGCCAGAGTCTCACTCTCTTGCCCAAGCTGGAGTGCAATGGTGCAATCAGCCCACTGCAACATCCCCCTCTGGGGTTCAAGCAATTCTCCTGCCTCAGCCTCCCAAGTAGCTGGGTTTACAGGTGTGCACCACCACACCAGCTATTTTTTTTTTTTTTTTTTGGATTTTTAGTAGAAACAAGGTTTCTCTATGTTGACCAGGCTGGGCTTGAACTCCTGAGTTCTGGTGATTCACCCACTTTGGCCTCCCAAAGTGCTGGGATTATGGGTGTGGGCCACGTGCCCAGCCTATAGGCTCTATTTTGTGCAGCAGATATCTAGAACTTATTCGTCCAGCGTAAAAGAAACTTTACCCACTGGACAACAGTTTTCCATATCTATCACCCCCAGCCTCTGGCAACCACTGTTAGATTTTATGCTTCTATGAGTCTGACTATTTTAGACACCTCAGAGAAGTAGAATCACACAGTATTTGTCCTGCTGTGATGGGCGCTTTTTCACTTAGCATAATGTCCTCCAGGTTCATTCATTGTGCGTGTCAAAATGTATTAAGAAGGTACATTTCATGTTAAGCATTCTTACCACAAAATAAAACAAAAACAAAGGGACACAAGAAAACTTTAGGAAGTGTTGGCTACGTCTGTTACCTTAAGCGATGGCTTCACAGATTATGCATATGTCTAAACTCATCAAATTGTACACATTAAATATGTACAATTCTTTTATATCAAATTTTCCTCAATAAGGCTATTTTTAAAAATATAGGGTTCAGGCTGGGAGCAGTGGCTCACACCTGTAATCACAGCATTTTGGGAGGCCATGGTGGGGGTGGATCACCTGAGATCAGGAGTTCAAGACCAGCCTGGCCAACATGGTGAAGCCCCATCTCTACTAAAAATAGAAAAATTAGCCAGGTGTGGTGCCTGTAGTCCCAGCTATTCAGGAGGCTGAGGCAGAAGAATCACTTGAACTCAGAAGGCGGAGGTTGCAGTGAGCCATGATCACACCATGCACTCCAACCTGGGCGACAGAGGGAGACTCTGTCTCAAAAAATATATATACATATATATGTGTGTGTGTGTACATATAGTATGTGTGTATATATATGTGTGTGTCTGTATATATATATGGCTCAGCTTGTATCCTACGTGATGTCTGAGATAAGTCAGAAGGAAGGAGAAGGAAAAAGAAAGAGAGGAGCAAGAATTTCTTAGAGGCTGACCACCTCTCTTCCTCATACATTTACCTTTTAAAAAAGCCATGGAGATGAGTCACCAAAAGGAGATAAGATTGTCTTACTTTGGAATTCCCAAAGCAGGCCCTAAGGCAAGAACTTAAGTATAATAGCTTATTTGGGAGGCAATCCCAGGAAGCCCATGCGAGGCAGTATGGAAGCAAGACCAGGAAGGGAAAAGCCAGTGAAGGGTGAGTGAATTGATGTGCGGGTTTTCACTGTGGGCAACTGGTGCTCAACCCTGCTGGGAACCCGTTAAGAAACCTATGGTAGAATATCTCAGAATTGTCCTCATGAAGGACAAAGGGTTGGCCCATCAACTTCTGTGGGCCATTGGTTGAAGGCACAGTTCTCCTTTGCACCTGGGTTTTGCTTGAGCTAGACACAACAAGCTCCTGTGGTGCAGAAGAAAACCTTCAGATGGAGAAAGAGAGAGAGAGATGCAGGTGCTTGAGATGGGAAATGACTTCCATAGTTGTGGGTGAACTCAGAAGGAGGCCAGGAAGATGTAAGGTAGGGCAGCAATACTGACTAGTGCTATTGTGGCAACATGGCAGCCTTCCAATGTCATTCCACTAGACAATTGCCACAGGTGCCTTTCTTCTGAAATACCAGGTGCGCAAGGCTTAGACATATCTATATGAGCCTCTGTAGGGTCCACTGTCTGTAACAAAACAGTAGGATTTTTATTTTTTTACCATTAGTCACAAGTTATGTGAAATAAGTGGGAGAACTCAGTGCTATCTGGCCAATGGGAAAGGACAAGTCTTATCTAATGCACCATTAAAACTATCCTTGTACTACATCTGTTCTTGATTCCATGGTTCTTGGGTCTGGCTTGCTTTGTTTTTACAATGCCGGGGGGGGGGGGTTCATTGTTTTTAAATAAGTCCACCAAATTTTAATCCAAAATGCAAGCTATTCCGAGTGCTTGCTGAAATGTCCACGTGTCATGGAAGCCCCTGGGCAGGACAATGAGTCATTGGCATCTGCAGCACCTGTGTGTTACAGTTTTGGGCTCCACTTGGCTTCCCTAGTTTCTTTTAATCCTTGCATTTATGAACTAGTACTTACTCACTTACCATTATTATATCGATTGATGCCCAAATATTCTTTAAAGAAAAGGATTGCTGGCCAGGCGTGGTGGCTCACGCCTGTAAACCCAACACTGGGGGGCCAAGGTAGGCGGATCACAAGGTCAGGAGTTTGGGGCCAGCCTGACTAATATGGTGAAACCCCGTCTCTACCAAAAATACAAAAATTAGCAGGGCGTGGTGGTGCATGCTGTAGTCTCAGCTACTTGGGAAGCTGAGGCAGAAGAATTGCTTGAACCCGGGAGGCAGAGGATGCAGTGAGCCAAGATCATGCCACTGCACTCCAGCCTGGATGAAGAACAAGACTTCATCTCAAAAAACAGACAGAAAACAGGTTCGTTTATCATGCACATAACTCAAATTACATATTTTTAACTTGTTTTTCAGAGAAGTTTTAGGTTCACAGTAAAATGGAGTAGACAGTACAGAGTTTTCATATCTTCCCTCAACATACACATGGACAGCTTCCCCACTGCCAGCATCCTGCATGAGAGTGTACATTTGCTGCAATCAGTTAAGCTACACGGACACTTCATTGCCACCCAAAATTCATAGTTTACATGTGGATTCACTCTTGGTGTTGTACATTCTATGGTTCTGACAAATGTAGAATGGCCCTTATCTACCAGTATACAGTATGGTATAGTATAGTATGGTATAGTATAGTATGGTACAGTATGGTATAGTATAGTATGGTATAGTATAGTATAGTATAGTATAGTATAGTATAGTATAGTATAGTATAATATAGTATAGTATAGAATAGTATAGTATAGTATATAGTATAGTATAGTATTGAATAGTAAAGTATAGAATAGTATAGTATAGTATAGTATAGTGTATTAGAATAGAATAGTATAGTATATAGTATAGTATAGAATAGTACAGTATAGTATAGAATAGTATAGTATAGAATAATATAGAATAGTATAGTATAGGATATAGTATAGAATAGTATAGTATGTAGTATAGTATAAAATAGAATAGTATACAATAGTATATAGTATAGTATAGTATAGAATAGTATAGTATAGAATAGCATATAGTATAGTATAGTATAGAATAGTATAGTATAGTATATAGTATAGTATAGAATAGTGTATATAGTATAGTATAGTATAGAATGGTATAGTATATAGAATAGTATAGTATAGAATAATATAGAATAGTATAGTATATAGTATAATATAGCATAGAATAGTATAGTATAGAATAGTATACAATAGTATATAGCATAGTATAGTATAGAATAGTATATAGTATAGTATAGTATAGAACAGTATAGTACAGTATATAGTATAGTATAGTATAGAATAGTATATAGTATAGTATAGAACAGTATAGTACAGTATATAGTATAGTATAGTATAGTATAGAATAGTATATAGTATAGTATAGAATAGTATAGTATATAGTTTAGTATAGTATAGTATAGTACAGTGCAGTATAGTATAGTATAGAATAGTTTCACTGCCCTGAACCAAATTATATTTTGAAGGAAATAAAACCAGAATACTTTCAAGCAATGTTCTGAGGTTGATGTGATCTTTCCCTTCATTAGCCAGGTAGACACTTGAAACTCCAAATCTGTGTTCCCTTAAAACCATTGTTTTAGGGGTGCTGAGTCATATGATCAAGCATGAGTCTTTAAATGCATACTTTCATATTTTGAGGGCATCCCCTTCTATTTTAGACACATGTAGACAAATTGTAAACTGAGGTCACTTTGCCGTAGCAGATGAAATGCTTGAGCAAAAGTGCAGACTGGAATATAACTTTTCAGTGCAGAGTGTGTCTGGTAATCCCAAAATGAGGGAGTGCAGTGGTGCTTAGGTCTGCACTCAGGCTGGATTTCCCTGACCCAGAGCTCTAATCCTGGATGCCCGGCACATTAGGAGGATGAGGACTCCTTAGTCTCTGTCTTCAGACTCTTAACCTCAACAAACCCCTCCAGGCAGCACATAGACGATTTAGCTAGTGCTAATTCTGTCTCAACTGATTAGGGCAGCAGTAGTAAGACGTGAACTTCGTGAACTAAAGCCCTTGCCAAATCAGCAGATATTCACTGAATGATTTCCCAGTGCCCAGCAGCCAGCTGCCAATTTGATATATTTGTCTGTTATTGGCTATACTATGACCATCCATTAAAATCCGTGCAATTTGAGTTTAGAAAATCCTGGATTTGAGCAATTATATGTAGAATATTTACAGTATGTATGATGCATGTTTTCTGATTACATACATTAAAATCAGTTAGTCTTTAAATAACTGCTATATCTGGTAAGTTTTTATATTTGAAAAGTAGAGCAGTAGAATTAAATGTTTCCACAGTTCTGAGATAAATAAATGTAAAATAAATAAATGTAAAATTTTAAATTAAAATCAGACCAATTTTTACAGTTCAGGCCTGGCTTCTGGTAAGTTTGCTTGACTTTCTCTTAGGCAGTATCCCAACAATTCCAAAGTCATTCCTCCTACTTCTGCTTTGCAGAGGTCTTTGTAGCCCATCTCCTCCAACTCTGCTCTGAGCAAAACCCAAATAGGCCTTCTTCTGGGTCTGTTCGTGTCTTGCTCCCCTACCCATCTCTGCCAAGGACAGAGGAGAACTTTAGAGATCTCTTTTCTACTGGTTTGAATTATGCCACTGTCACCCCACTTTAGAAGGAAACCAGATTTAATTTTAGCTTTAGTCTTAAATAATAATGGGAATTTTATCTGTTAAACTAGCACAATATAAATAAAAAGGAGTTATCACTGTAATAGTGTGTACTACTACCAACAAAGACAGTTAATCCTGAAGCACTTGGCAGTGCCACTAAAATGTATTTCACTTTCACTAAAGGTATAGGCTGTTAGTACTTTTCTACTGCATTTCACCATAGCACTTACCCTGGAAATTGTTGTTGAGGGCAGTGGGTTATGTGCTGGCTGCTCTCACTTATTTCTTTTTACTCTGGAAGCTCATTTTCATTAGATCCATCCAGGCCGTCTTGAAATGTCAGGTGCTAGGCACAATTACAAATATCCTAACAAAAAAGGTAAACCTTTGTCATCATTAAAATAACTCAAAATTATGTAATTTCTACTGGATTCAATATAATTTATGTGCTACTACAGTTTGTATAAATTACATTCACTTTCTTCAAAAGATTGTGAAGCAAAGTCCATTACATATACATCTGTAGAGATTAAAGTGAAATTCTAGCCATATTCATATATAATGGAACTGAATATTAAGTATTTTAGTTAGAAAGTCTTAAAGAATGAATTAAGAAACATCAATATAGATTTTATTTCATGATTATCATTGATTGTTCCTCAATGTTTTTCTGAACTTTTCTACTCTGACATTTCATGGTTCATACATCATGACAATTTTTGGAATATAGATATTTGCAGTAATGGAGGCCATTAAAATAATAATGTGTAGTAAACACACAGATGGAACACATAGAGGTAGGTGCTTAATCTATTTGAAGATAATAAAACAACAGTAAATTTACATACGGCTTTGAACTGACTTTATCTTAAATAAATGTCATTTTACTTTCACTTAAAAACTCCAAAAACTGAGATCAGGCAGTGTTTATTTGGCAGAAATGGTACATTGTCTTTACTTGTTAGTAACTCAGTCAAGTAGGAATTTATTAGCTCACATACTGTTAGTAATAGAGCCAATAAAGTTTACAGATAAACTTAAGCATATTCTTCAAGATAAAGATGTCCTTCTATTTTATATGTACAGTATTTTACTTACAGTAACTGGCCTCGATTTTGGCCTAATCAATGTGTGGTTATGTACTTACATCCTCTGTGAAGGCTTCTTGTCTTTGATATTGCAGATGGAGGAACCACACAAAGACTTTCTGTCCTTCAACTGTAGAAGCTTCTCTGGCTACAGGTTGAAAAATACATCTGACTGCCCTTTCGAAAATGGTCTTAATTCAGTTTAACCTTGCCTTAAATACGAATTCAACTAAGTTGATTAGTCCTATTTCATGACAGAAACTTTGCCCTCTGATATCCTCTACAGATAGGCTAAAAGATGTTAAGCCCGAGGAAAGTGCCCTGCAAGGTACATAAACCCGTCTCAGAGCTTAGCCCTTAGTGTAATCCTTCCTTAGCCTTTAAGACGCTTTGTGGGCATTCACTTAATACCCTTGTTCAACTTGTTCAAAAGAAAAATACTATGTGAATAAATAATAAGCTTTTCTTTGATGAAACTATATAGTCTATTTCCAACAAGTGGAAACGTTTCTTTTGCAAGCAGGAAAAAACCTAAGTTATTTTCCACAGAGCTGAAACATTTGACAAAAGATGGCAGTCTATCTTTTTTATTTTTTGAGATGGAGTTTCGCTCTTGTTACCCAGGCTGGAGTGCAATGGCGCGATCTCGGCTCACCGCAACCTCCGCCTCCTGGGTTCAGGCAATTCTCCTGCCTCAGCCTCCTGAGTAACTGGGATCACAGGCATGTGCCACCATGCCCAGCTAATTTTTCATATTTTTTGTAGAGATGGGGTTTCACCATGTTGACCAGGATGGTCTTGATCTCTTGACCTCGTGATCCACCTGCCTCGGCCTCCCAAAGTGCTGGGATTACAGGCGTGAGCCACTGCACCCGGCCCTGATGGCAGTCTATCTTAAAAGAAGCTTCTATAATGGACAACTGTACTTTAATTCTTTTTTTTTTTTTTTTTTAATAAACAGGGTTTCACCATGTTGGTCAGGCTGGTCTTGAACTCCCGACCTCAGGTGATCTGCCCGCCTTGGCCTCTAAAGTGCTTGGATTACAGGCATGAGCCACCACACCTGGCTGCTGTACTTTAATTCTTATAGACAGTGAGAAAACCCTTCATTGACTGTGTGAAAGCTGTGATCTGTGTAAGAGGGAAAATCTGTGTAAGAGGGAAGGATTTTGAAAATGTGACCTATTATATCTGCTGGAGACACATTTGTAGCTTGAAAAAGAACATCCGTATTTTTTGATTCCTAGTAATTTACTAGTGGAAAGTACAAAATAAAAATTTAATATAAGAAATGTAAGTTGTGTTACAAGTTATGCTTTAGGCTTCCAGCTTGAAGGTAACCTGCTCCTTTGTTGACACACCTTTTTATCACTGGCTGTTGTGTTCCATTGGTCTATATCTCTGTTTTGGTACCAATACCATGCTGTTTTGATTACTGTAGCCTGGTAGTATAGTTTGAAGTCAGGTAGCATGATGCCTCCAGCTTTGTTCTTATTGCTAAGAATTGTCTTGGCTATGCGGGCTCTCTTTTGGTTCCATATGAAGTTTAAGGTGGTTTTTTCCAGTTCTGTGAAGAGGGTTGTAGGTAGCTTGATGGGGATAGCATTGAATCTATAAATTACTTTGGGCTGTATGGCCATTTTCACGATATTGATTCTTCCTAACCACGAGCATGGAATATTTTTCCATCTCTCTGTGTCCTCTCTTATTTCCTGGAGCAGTGGTTTGTAGTTCTCCCTGAAGAGGTCCTTTACATTCCTTGTTAGTTGTATTTCTAGGTATTTTATTCTCTTTGTAGCAATTGTGAATGGCAGTTCGTTCTTGATTTGGCTCTCTTTAAGTCTGTTATTGGTGTATAGGAATGCTTGTGATTTTTGCACATTGATTTTGTATCCGGAGACTTTGCTGAAGTTGCTTATCAGTTTCAGGAGATTTTGGGCTGAGATGATGGGGTCTACTAAATATACAATTGTGTCATCTGCAAAAAGAGACAATTTGACTTCCTCCTTTCCTAACTGAATACCCTTTATTTCTTTTTCTTGCTTGACTGCTATGGCTAGAACTTCCAGTACTATATTGAATAGGAGTGGTGAGAGAAGGCGTCCTTGTCTAGTGCCAGATTTCAAAGGGAATGCTTCCAGTTTTGCCCATTCAGTTTGATATTGGTTGTGGATTTGTCATAAATAGCTTTTATTATTTTGAGATACATTCTGTCAATACCCAGTTTATTGAGAGTTTTTAGCATAAAAGGCTGTTGACTTTTGTCGAAGGTCTTCTCTGCATCTATTGAGATAATCATGTAGTTTTTGTCTTTGGTTCTGTTGATGTGGTGAATATGCTTATAGACTTGCATATGTTGAACCCCGGGATGAAGCCTACTTGATCCTGGTGGATAAGCTTTTTGATGTGCTGTTGCAATCAGTTTGCCAGTATTTTATTGAAGATTTTTGCATCTATGTTCATCATGGTATTGGCCTGAAGTTCTTTTCTTGTTGAGTCTCTGCCAGATTTTGGTATCAGGATGATATTGGTTTCATAAAATGATTTGGGAATGATTCCCTCTTTTTGAATTGTTTGGAATAGTTTCAGAAGGAGTGGTACCAGCTCCTCTTTGTATGTCTGGTAGAATTCGGCTGTGAACCCATCTGGACCTGGGCTTTTTTTGATTGTAGATCTTTCCTTGCTTCTCTTGTGGGCATTCATTGCTATAAATTTTCCTCTAGACACTGCTTTAAATGTGTCCCAGAGATTCTGGTACATTGTGTCTTCATTCTCATTGGTTTCAAAGAACATCTTCATTTCTGCCTTCATTTCATTGTTTATCCAGTCAACATTCAGAAGCCAATTGTTCAATTTCCATGAAGCTGTGAGGTTCTGAGTTAGTTTCTAAATTCTGAGTTATAACTTGATTGCACTGAGGTCTGAGAGACTGTTTGTTATGATTTCCATTATTTTGCATTTGCTGAGGAAGGATTTACTTCCAAATATGTGGTCAATTTTAGAGTCGGGTGTGATGTGGTGCTGAGAAGAATGTATATTCTATGGATTTGGGGTGGAGAGTTCTGTAAATATCTATTAGGTTTGCTTGGTCCAGATCTCAGTTCAAGTCCTGAATATCCTTGTTAATTTTCTGTCTTGTTGATATGTCTAATATTGACAGTGGAGTGTTAAAGTCTCCTGGTGCTCCTCTATTGGGTGCATATATATTTAGGATCATTAGCTCTTCTTGTTGCATTGATCCTTTTACCAATATGTAATGTCCTTCTTTGTCTCTTTTGACCTATGTTGGTTTAAAGTCCTATTTTATCAGAGACTAGGATTGCAACTCCTGCTTTTTTTGTGTGCTTTCCATTTGCTTGGTAAATCTTCCTCCATCCCTTTATTTTGAGCCTATGTCTGTCCTTGCATGTGAGATGGGTGTCCTGGATACAGCACACCGATGGGTTTTGACTTTTTATCCAACTTGCCAGTCTGTGTCTTGATTGGGGCATTTAGCCCATTTACATTTAAGGTTAATATTGTTATGTATCAATTTGATCCTGCCATTTTGATGCTACCTGGTTGTTTTGCCCATTTGGTTGATGCAGTTTCTTCATTGTGTCAATGCTTTTTCCCATTTGGTATGTTTTCAGAATGGCTGGTACTGGTTGTTCCTTTCTATGTTTAGTGCTTCTTTCAGGAGGTCTTGTAAGGCAGGCCTGGTGGTGACAAAATCTCTCAGCAATTGCTTGTTCAGAGAGGATTTTATTTCTCCTTCACTCATGAAGCTTAGTTTGGCTGGATATGAAATTCTAGGTTGAAAATTATTTACTTTAAGGATGTTGAATATTGGCCCCCACTCTCTTATGGCTTATAGGGTTTTTGTCAAGAGATCCACTGTGAATCTGATGGGCTTCCCTTTGTGGGTAACTTGATCTTTCTCTCTGGCTGCACTTAGCAGTTTTTCCTTCATTTCAATCCTGGTGAATCTGACAATTATGTGCCTTGGGATTGCTCTTCTTGAGGAATTTCTTTGTGGTGTTCTCTGTATTTCCTGGATGTGAATATTGGCCTGCTTTGCTAGGTTGGGGAAATTCTCCTGGATAATATCCTGAAGAGTGTTTTCCAGCTTGGATTCATTCTATCACATTCAGGTACACCTATCAAACGTAGATTAGATCTTTTCACATAATCCCATATTTCTTGGAGGCTTTGTTCATTTCTTTTTACTCTTTTTTCTCTAATCTTGCCTTCTCATTTTATTTCATTGAGTTAATCTTCAATCTCTGATATCCTTTCTTCTGCTTGGTCCATTTGGCTATTGAAACTTGTGTATGCTTTGCAAAGTTCTTGTGTTGTGTTTTTCAGCTCCATCAAGTCATTTATATTCTTCCCTAAGCTATTTATTCTCACTAGCATTTCATCAGAACTTTTTTTCAAGGCTCTTAGTTTCTTTGCATTGGGTTAGAACATGTTCTTTTAGCTCAGAGAAGTTTGTTATTATCCACCTTCTGAAGCCTGCTTCTGTCAATTCACCACACTCATTCTCCATCCAGCCTTGTTCCTTTGCTGGTGATGAGTTGTGATCCCTTGTAGGAGGAGAAGCGTTCTGGTTTTGAGTATTTTTATCCTTTTTGAGCTGGTTTCTTCCCATCTTTGTGGACTTACCTACCTGTGGTCGTTGTAGTTGGTGACTTTCAGATGGGGTCTCTGAGTGGATGTCCTTTTTGTTGATGATGAAATTATTTATTTCTGTTTTTTAGTTTTCCTTCTAATAGTCAGGACCCTCTGCTGTAGGACTGCTGGAGGTCCACTCCAGACCCTGCTTGCCTGGGGATCTCCTGCAGTGGCTGCAGAACTGTAAGGGTTTCTGCCAGTTTCTTCTTCCATTATCTTCATCCTAGAAGGACACCTGCCATATGTCAGCCTGAGCTCTCCTTTATAAGGTGACTCTTTGGATATACGGGGGTCAGAGAGCTGCTTGAGGAGACAGTCTGTCCTTTATAGGGGCTCAAGTGCTGAGCTGTGAGCTCCATTGTTCTGTTCAGAGCTGTTGGGCAGGTATGTTTAAGTCTGCAGCAGAACTCAAAACTGCCTTTTTTCCCAGGTGCTCTGTCCTGGGAAGGTGAGGCTTTATTTATAAGTTCCTGACATGGTGCTACCTTTTTTTCAGAGCTGCCCTGCCCAGCAAGGAGTTAGCCAAGTCACAGTCTGCCAGCAGAGGTGTTGCTGAGCTGCTGCGGACTCTGTTCAGCTGTTGTGTGAACTTCCTTGCAGTTTTGTCTATAGGGGTATAGTTAGAACTGCCTGGGTAATTGCAGTTGGCCTCCGTAATGGTGGACTGCCTC